CTCCATGTTTTTGATGGTAACAGCCTTTTGATCACAATTTAGACACCAATTATTTTAGGGTTTCTTGATTTCACACAAAATTAATCTGAGCAGTACTTACCCCGGGAACTATTAGGTGTGCCGCTGTAGCCTTAGTCGCATGTCCAGGCTCTCCCTTTTCACCGGGAGGGCCGGGAGGTCCGGGTGGGCCGTCAACGAACACTAAATTACAGTTAAAATTAGGTTTATTTTGATTTGACAAATGTTTGCATCGAAATACTCGGCTGAGCGTCATGTCTCGATAGAGATGCCGACCCTTTAATTCCTCGATATGCTGTCCATTTGTAAAATTGATTATTTTGGTAATTAATAATTGCCATTTATATATTTAATTATTGTGTTGTTAGTACTGAATAGTATATAAATTATAAATATACTAATTTAATGGACAGACCTCTGGTGGCGCTAATACTGTTGTCATACCAATCGATTGGCGATTCACCCGGTGGTCCGGGCGGACCGGGAAGTCCTGGTATTCCTTATAATTTTAATATTATATTAATATAAATATTTGCTTTGTTTTTGGTGCAAATGAAGAGTTTTCTATAAATAGATTTTGCAAATACTACTCAAACAAACAAAAATAATAAATATTAAGCACTTTTAAAGTAATAAATACTAAGTTATTATAATTACAGCAATATTTTGAATATTTTGTCTTTTTATTTTACTGTCCATTACTTCCTTTATTCACAAAAAAGATTTATTTATTTTTATTTAACTAATTATTGTTAGTATAACTTATAATATAACCAAAAGTTGTTTTATATTCAAATAAGCGATGATTTTAAATATATTTTCTAATAAATTAATGGTATGGAAAGTAAATGCAATAAAATATTTTTGTAATTATTAGACAATGAGGAATTGCTTTTTAATATTCAAATTTGGTTTTGAAATTCATTTGTTGTATTCACTTTTTTGCACACTGTGTATGATATTTTATATTATTGATTATTGACTATAAATTACCATATATAGTATATCTGTAAAACGATTACAACATCTAAATGAAAAATGACATCTATTTCAATAACACTTTTATCATAATTATTCTCTACATTTGACAATAGGTATAGAAATTAAACACTGAATATACTGCTATAAAGAAAAGTAATGGAAATTTAGAAACTAATCTATACTTTAAGTATAATTTTATACTTTTTATAACTTTCGTAGAATTACTTTTAGTAATGTTAAACAATGTTGACAACAAAGTCATATAAACTATTTTAATGCAAGTTTTCATTGATTTTTAAGTAAGAAGTACACACTAATAAATATATCGTTAAAATGAAAATCTTTAAACATTTTATAAAATAGCTGGAAATGTCTGGTATTAAATGTTGAGAACCATTGGCTAATAAAATTTTTAATATCGAGATATTTCATACATTTTTGATGACTATTATATAAATATTATATTAATATTTGTCTGCATTTTGATAGCCATCACAAGACATAGGAAGCGGTGATTATATCGAAGGCTTTCTCAATGGAGATGAAAACGAGCCAAAGGTCTGTCCGATGTTTAACACAAACATACATTCAATAAATAATAATAAATTTAATTTAATATAAAAATTATGTTTCAGTTCTCGACGCCGACTGTTGTGGACGGAAACGAGCAAACAATTCCCGATCTCACAAATACCGACAATGATCAGGGTCTATATTATACAATTATAGCATATTTCATTGTGCTTGCTAACCAATTCCATTAACATTTTAACAACTTTTGATAATTGGCTTTAATTAACATGATAAATGCTTGAATATAACTGTGATGCACATCAGGTCCGCCTCCCTTTATACCTCCACCACCCGTTCCCCACCCGTCCATCGATCTGAAAGGTTATACGTTTGATTCAATTAATAGCAATTGTCGGCATATTTGAAAATTAAAAATAGTATTTTATTTCTATTCTCTATACTGTACTTGTATATGCATTTTTGCGATAACTATTTAAATGCCGTTTTGTGTCAATCGTGGAAAACAGTTATACTTATGTCACAAAACAAATAAAAAATAATTTATTTATGAATTAATTCAAGGTTTTAAACACTTGATTAGCATTTCAAACGACTCGCAATCGACTAAAACTTTTTCTTATTTTATTTGATTTTTATTTCTCGTATCAAAGGCTCAATTGGCGATAAATCTATACTTGAAGTGAGTATAAGTCTATGCATTGTTTGAATACTTTATTACATTAATAGCACACTATTTAACACATGTATTAAGCACTTGAAATTGACTTTAAGGAAATAAAATACATTTAATACTTTTAATTAAAAATAGGAATTACTTTATATGTAATCTTGATTTAAAAACTGATTATTCATTAGATATCAATCTAATTAATTGAAAACATGAAAATATTTAAGTAGTAATTAATATCAAATAACTTTTAAAAAAACATAAAATTACGAAATATTTAATTAACACACCATTAATTTTTTGTGAACATGATACTAAAAATAACAAAAATAAATACATATTTTTAGTCTAAAATATCTGAGAATATCTAAAAAATGCAAATAAAAATATTAGACTAAAAATGCAATTAATATACCAGGATACTTCACACGCCACACACATACACGAATAAAATAACTACATAAAATAAATTGAATATTTTGGTGGTATAATTGAAAAATTATTAAAATTACATTATATTTAAGGTTTCGTTTCGCTTTGAAAGCAATTGAAGTTTCAATGAAATAAAATAAAAACAAAAAATTCTCCAAAAATTCTGTAATTTTTGTTTCTTATCTGAAAATTTGTTATTTTTGTTGAAAACATAGGAAAAAATGCCAACAAATCCTGAACCGAATTACATAACACTTAAGGGAGAGAAAGGCGAGAGAGGGGAGAGGGGAGAGAGGGGTGAGAAGGTATGTGTCATTGAAATGTTTGAATGAATCCATAAATTTAACTCATAATTGATTACCAATTGTTCGCACCGTTAGGGCGAATGCATGGAAAGGGAGACCATTGAGACAATATACGAGACACAGACGCCGGCGCCGGTTATCAATCAATGCGTTTGCAATGTATCGGAAATTATATCTAGTCATCAAATTAAGGGCCCAAAGGGTGATGTGGGACCAGTTGGACCACCCGGACCTCCAGGTTAGAGTCATCTCGAAAACTATTAGTTATAATAATAAATACGAATTAATTTATCAATTATAGGTCCGCCCGGGAGGGGATCCACGTTTGACGTAAGTTTGCAACAGATTAAACGATTACCAAAAACTAGTTTTAATTGTTTGAAATGATTAACAGCCAGACCTATCGCCGGGTTATTTCGGAGCACCGGGTTCTGGCTCATCATTTTCGTATTTAACGCGAGTGGGCGACCCGGGACTACCCGGTCCCAGGGGTTTACCCGGACATAAAGGTATGATTAACAGCCAGACCTATCGCCGGGTTATTTCGGAGCACCGGGTTCTGGCTCATCATTTTCGTATTTAACGCGAGTGGGCGACCCGGGACTACCCGGTCCCAGGGGTTTACCCGGACATAAAGGAGACAAAGTAATTTTAAAACTTTAGGTTCAATTGGTTTAATGAATCGGTTTGTAGGGCGACCCAGGATTTGGTCTTAAAGGTGAACCGGGAAGGAATGGCAAGAGAGGCAAACCGGGAAGGCATGGAATACCCGGTCCGCCAGGGATTATGGGTCCCCCGGGAGAAGTGGGATTTCCGGTAAGTTTTTATTGTCCAGTAAAACCGTCTATACCTTTTGAAATAGTTTTAGTAAAAACTATTTTCCATGAACTAGGTACTAAGTTATGACATTTTTTTTAAACATTAGGGTATCCCAGGTCCTAAGGGTGACAGAGGAGAGATGGGAGTTCCCGGATCGCCTCCTTATGGTCCTGAAGGGCCAGGCGGGCCTGGTGGCCCACTTAGCGGTTAGCTAACCATACTGTTGTCATAATCGCGGTGGTCTCCAGACAGGTAATTTAATCATATAAATATTAAATATATGATAACAGTATTAACAACACAATAATTAAATATATAAATGGCAATTATTAATTACCAAAAACAATCAATTTTACAAATGGACAGCATATCGAGGAATTAAAGGGTCGGCATCTCTATCGAGACATGACGCTCAGCCGGGTATTTCGATGCAAACATTTGTCAAATCAAAATAAACCTAATTTTAACTGCAATTTAGTGTTCGTTGACGGCCCACCCGGACCTCCCGGCCCTCCCGGTGAAAAGGGAGAGCCTGGACATGCGACTAAGGCAACAGCGGCACACCTAATAGTTCCCGGGGTAAGTACTGCTCAGATTAATTTTGTGTGAAATCAAGAAACCCTAAAATAATTGGTGTCTAAATTGTGATCAAAAGGCTGTTACCATCAAAAACATGGAGTCCCTTATTAAGGCATCGGCTAACAGTCCGATGGGAACCCTGGCCTTCATTATCGACGAGCAGTCGTTACTTATTAAAGTGAATGGGGGCTGGCAGTACGTACCGGTACGTAAAGTATATGAGGGGTTAGAAATCAATGCATACTACGTTATAAAACATATCTAGTTAAAATTAGTTTTAACTACTTTATATGAACTTTTATGTACAGTATTATCATTAACATAAAGAAATGTAATCAAGTTCAATCGTATGCATTGGTTTCTAGCTACTCGTGCTATCCAAATTAGTTTATACACATTAATTCAATCAACACTACATTTAAACTATTTATCAATTGATTTATAATGTGTTTACAGTTGGGATCACTGGTTCCCATGACTTCAGATGTGAACGAAATTGCAGTCAGTATTTTTAGTTTATACACATTAATTCAATCAACACTACATTTAAACTATTTATCAATTGATTTATAATGTGTTTACAGTTGGGATCACTGGTTCCCATGACTTCAGATGTGAACGAAATTGCAGTCAGTATTTTATTTGTGACTATTTTTTGACACTTTATTTAAATTAAAAATTTGTCAACTTATGTAAAAAGACTGAGACAACTACTACCATAACGACAGCTCCGGCAGCTAACTATGCTATCGAAACAAATTTGTCAGAAAAATCATTTCGAGTAAGTCTTACACAGTACAATTCATAATGAAACTATTCTGTACAAATTGTATACAAATACTGAATAACGTAACAAATATTAATTTTATATTACAAGCATCACAGCCACAGAAAGGTATTTGTAAGTCATTGCGAGTGATATAGGAAATCAAATAATTTGAAATTTTTAAGAATTTAATTTAATTATACTTAATAAAACACTTATGTCAATTCCTACCGTCGGGACTTATGGGGCAAAAGCCCGCTGAAAGTGCCGTATGCTCCGCGACTGATGCTCACAATGGCCGTCAGCGCATCCCGATTATACTCCCCGTGATTCCGGGCGTTTGTCGCCTCCAAAGTCCAGAACTTGGATTCAATCGTTCGCTACAAGGATTCAAAGCTACCGATTGTTAACATTAAAGTAAAAACCATTTATATAAACAATCAAAACAGATCTCGTTTAATGAATACATTTCCCAATGATAGGGCGAAATACTATTCAATTCGTGGAAAGACTTGTTTACTGGTGCCGGCGCTCCCTTTCCATTCCCACCGAAGATTTATAGCTTCGATGGCAGAAACGTATTGACTGACTATTCCTGGTATTAATCACACCATTGAACAACAGTTTTATATCTGAACCCAATTATACTGACAATAATCTCATGCCATGAATAGGCCCCAGAAGCTGGTCTGGCACGGGGCCGACAGGTCAGGCGTGCGAAATAGTGAGGCCTACTGTGACGCGTGGAACAACAACAGTATGGCGAAAGTAGGTCTGGCCAGTTCGCTACTTAGAGGCAAACTACTGGACCAGGAGAAGTACTCGTGCAACAACTCCTTTATCGTGCTCTGCATTGAGACCACCAGTCCTGAGGACAGGCAGAAGAGACACGTCCACCCCTCGGCAGACGTTTAAATGGCATTAGTCTTAACGGCACTCACGAGGAATGTATTGTCTCTGCCATAGAATACCTGCCGTCCAATCGATATGCAATGCAAAGAGACTTTTGTTTATTGGAGGCAATAATTATTTGATTGAAAAATGAATTTTGTTAATTCAATGTACAAATTCTAGTCATTAATCATTAATTTTTAATTATATTGTAAAGCATTTTAAGGAATTAATGACATTTCGCTTTTTCTGAAAGCCATACGAAAAGCACTAAATGTTTTTTGTTTTTCTAATCAATAATTATTGTATTTGTTTATTACCAGCAAAATAATTGTAAGGGATGTGCAAAACCCCTCGATTAATAAACCCTTAAGTAACTTGTTTTTATATGAAACTTAAAACGATATTTTTGGTATAAAGATAAGTAGTCCTTAAAACATGTTTAATTCTTTAAAAGTTTTTACGTATTATAAATTATCTGTATGTGTAGCATTCATATGCGTGTAATCCCATTCCCCCTAAAATATACCTTTCCTTTTATGAGATGAAAGGGTTGCACATCTCGTTATAAAGTGTTTTATTGTGTGTATTGTTGTGTCAAACAATTGTGTGAATTAGCATTCATATGCGTGTAATCCCATTCCCCCTAAAATATACCTTTCCTTTTATGAGATGAAAGGGTTGCACATCTCGTTATAAAGTGTTTTATTGTGTGTATTGTTGTGTCAAACAATTGTGTGAATTAATGAGTGATTTTCTATATTTAATAGTAAATTATTTACTTAATTGAATGAAAAGAAAATTGTGTCAAAATTAATGGGCGAACGAAACGGTTGTGAAAATTGGATACAAATTAAACGTATAGAAAGTGATGTCTTTATGTTATGATTGAGTTTTCAACAATTTATCTAAACATTAACGAAATATTGAATAATTTTGCTTACATATCAGTCTCATTTTGACAAGTATACTTAATGGAAAATTAATTTATTAATAAAATGATTTTTTTCGAAATTTCTAAATAAAAGTAACATTGTAATACTTTTTTACAAGTATTCAGACATTTCTACCTATACATGAAATATTTATTTACATCAGTATTGGTATCAAAATTGAAACCTAATTTTTGTTAAGATAGGTTAATTATTTGCTAGAGACACAGGAATTAACAGTGACTATAATATTACTTATTTAAATAGTTAAAGGTTGAGACAAAATATTAAAAGAAATCAAATCGTCAAAAAGTTTTGCATAAAAACAACAAATAGTCTGTAATTAAGAAGAATTAACTCCCATTGATTTCTATTGAATTTTGCAATTTTTACGCAATTTTCTGTATTATAATAATCAAATAAAATATTTATTAAAACCTCTATAAATACACAGCGATTCCTACACAACATTTTGTCAGTCTTTTTGTCGACACATCCCTTAAAAGAGATTTCCTTCCCTTTCGACTGCAAAACACATACCAAATAGCAGTCGTTTTATCGGATATCTGTGTTCACTAATAATGCAACGAAATGTTCAAATGTTTTGCTAAACAAAAGTACATTCTCTGGGTTTGTATTGAATAATAAACATCTGAAGAATCCTTTTGTGTGTTTGTGTGACAAAAATCATGAGTGAAAGTAACAGAAGACGTCTGTTTGAGCTCTTGAAGATCGCCGGGAATGACATTTGCGCCGATTGTGATCACGAGAGTAATCTTATAAAACAATCCTGCTTCTTTCCATTCGTAACCTTATAAAACAATCCTGCTCCTTTCCATTCTGCACACTATTCTTGACACTCAATGACCATATCTTTCAGATCCTGAGTGGGCGTCTATAACGTTGGGAGTGTTTTTGTGCACCCAATGCGCCAGGTACTCTACCATTACTACTGTTTTACAAGCATTTCACTAAGAATTCTGTGTTTAAAAAAGTATTCACCGAAAGATCGGAATACACGTGAGTCGCATAAAGTCACTCAAACTGGATAATTGGGATCAGTCTCAGGTGATAATCATGGAGGAGAATGGAAATATATTGTCGAAAAAACTATACGAAAAACATTTACCGCTTTATTACCGAAAGCCGCACTCAAACGACTCGCAGTAAGGCTTCAAAACATATTCATTTGACTATTATTTGGGTTCTTAACATTAGATACCAGGCTATCACACCAGCAGCTCGTTACCTAAGCGCGGTTTATGCTCGCGTTTCTCAAACAGTTAGGCACGCTGCGGAGGATATGCTTCCCGGTATACCTCCCGATAGACACCTAAAGGGGTCGGGAGGATGGCAAGTTCCTCTTGAGAAAGTTTGTATTGTCTGAGACTGAGGGCACTCTTAAATACTATGTCAAACAGGTATAACTTATTACAAACAATTCATTTGATAATATTTTTGGAAAAGGGGTCGGGAGGATGGCAAGTTCCTCTTGAGAAAGTTTGTATTGTCTGAGACTGAGGGCACTCTTAAATACTATGTCAAACAGGTATAACTTATTACAAACAATTCATTTGATAATATTTCATATAGAATATTCTATATTAATATAGAATTACATTGTTGTTATTTTTACTATGTTTTTCATTCATCAATTTTAGCGAGTTTATAAGTTTCGACAGTTTTTACAAGCTAATAAACTATGAACACTTTTATAGTAGTTTTGACAAAAATTGTCAATTTAATAATCAAACATTTCATACATAGACTCAGAAAGTGCCGAAAACATCGATTAAGATCGCGTTATTGAACATGAATTTCTGTCCTAACAAAATCGCCAATCCTAATGGCATGCAACTGACCTGGATTAAGGACGGCTTCACTCGCAGCATATTTGTCTATAGCGAGAGCGGAAAGGTATGTACTTATTGTGTGACTGATTGTAATTGCTTTCCCATACAAAACACACAGACATTAGTGTCGATGTGTCAGCCTTTTTAATGTCGAAAGCGACAGTTTTTTTCAAATATGGTTTTGTTGTGAATTAATTTTTAATTATTTCCAAAACTGTCGCCTCTGTTATTGTCTGCGATCATTAATTTTCATTGCTATCCGACTATTAATTAGTGAATTAGTGATAAAATTAATTGATTAGTAAATATTAACTGTTAGAGAGAGAGAGAGAGAGAGAGAGAGA